TGAACACAATAAACAAAACCTTCGGAGCTCCGCGCTGATTCCTTGCTGGCGCCTCTGGCGCTGCCCTTGGCGCGCTGCGCGACTCGTTTTTTCTTCCTCTATTCGCCGTCGCCGCGCCGTCCCTCTCAGAAGCGAGCGCCCCTTGCGATGCACGCCTGGGACGTGCGGTGACCCAGCCATCGCAAGAAGTGTACATTCTTGGCTTCCTTGCGCGCAAGCGAGCGTTCCGTCGCTCGGTTGGCCAGTCCTTGTGTCGTCCGCCGTTATGGAACCTAGGGGCCTACTTGGGGCCCCCTTGGAGGCGCTGGGGGCCTTCTTTGGACCCTCTGGGAGGATATCGATCAAAGAAGGGAGATCCTAAATTAGCCTTTGCCCCTGTAGAGCCCCCGAAATCACGAAATCATCTCTTGGGGCTCTCTTGGGGCGCTCTTGGGACGCTCTTGAGGCTGCTTTGGAGCCCCCATGGGCTCTCCTTGGGTCTCTCTTAGCCCCTCTTGGAGTCATTCGCAGGCCTTGAACGTCCATCGGACGCGAACGGGCGAGAAGGCCAAAGTCATCGATTCTCTTCAGGTTTTGGAAGGATCTTGGCCTCTTGGGGGCGTCCTGGGGAGCCCCCATGGAGCCCCCAAGGCCAACTGGACCCGTCTTGGAACGGTCTTGGGACTTCTTGGAGTATGTTGGAAGCCATCTTGAGCGATCTTGCGCTATGACGAGCCATCTTGGAGGTTGTCTTGGGCTCTCGGAGGCCCTCATGGAGCCATCTTGAGCTATCTTGGACGCTCCAGTCGGTCGCGTGCGCCTCGGCCAAGCCCACGGGGAGGGGATATGGGGAAGGGGTCAAGCTACCCACAAGCAACATGTCGTCTCGCTAATCCCCACCCGCCCTCCCAACACACAAGTAGCATCCGAGTCTCAGCATGGGCAGGGGCCGCAATCGACAACCATCGGGGACCAGTGCAGGCGCCAGCCAGGTGCAGGAAGCCCGCGAGGTGCGCCGCACATGACAGCTGCACCACGCGCACCATGTGCGCCACATTGGGCAATATGTCGACCCCCTCTACCGTCTCTGTCAACAGCCAAAGCAACACGACGGCGGGTTTGTTGTGTTGAGGTGTGCGCCCATGATCGCTTTGCAAGTGATTTTCCCCACATCCAAGGTCGAGTTCTTGTTTTCTCTGGACCCCCTCCCGCGCAGGAGCACCCCCCTCCTCCTCTGTTCTTCACTCACGCACCCACGCACTCATCAGCATCATCACCATCATCATATTCTGTCAGCGTCATCCACATCATCAGATCATCAGCACCATCAGCATCCGCCAGCATCAGCCGCATCATTGTGATTGTTACCATCACTATCACCATCGTCGTCATCATCATCATCATCATCATCATACTCATCATCATCACCATTGCATGTATCAATGCCACTCGCCTTCTCATCATCTGTACCGTTATCATTACCATTCTCATTCTCTTTATCATCACCATTGCCATCACACGTTGCCATTATAATTACCATTATCATTGTCACTATCATTACTATGCTGTTTACCATCATCATTTCCGAAATCATTTTCGATATCATTGTTATATTCATTTCCAGAATCGATACCATGATCGGTGTCATCGCTATCGTCGCTATCAATGTCATTGCCAGTTTCCTTATCCGTATGGCTGCGCTGCCAAAGCCGTTGCCATTCGTTTTGCCTTTGTCATCGCCACTGAAATTGTCATTTTCATCACCATCACCATCACCATAATCATCAACAGCACCACCAACATCAGTATCAGTTTCACTGCCATTATATGAACCGATCTAATTTTCTTCATCACTATCATTACACTTAACCGCTTGCCATTATCATTTTCATTAGCATGATCATTCTCGTTATCATTCCCATCCGTAGCCATGTTTGGCTCAAGGTTGAAACGTTCGTCCCTGGCGCTTCGACCTTGTTCGGAGCCGACAGGGAGCTCGCGGTGCAGGCACCGGCTGCCTGCTTGCTTTGCCCTGCTTTCTGCCCCCTCCCCCCTTGTCCGCTCCGATCACCAGCGTTCGGGGTTGTGTGGCCATGGCTCCTTCAGCCACCGATGCTGCGATCAAGGGGTTGCCCGCTCATGTGGCAATGATGAATGAGGCCCTCACTACGGTCTCGGCTCAGGTTAGTGAACTTCCACCGTTGTTGCCATGCAGAAGGGTATGAAGCAGCAGGAAGAGAAAATTGCTAAGACTGAGGCGGAGATTCAGAAACGCCGAAGCATGTCCAGTATCGGTTCTCCGTCTTCCCAGGCCTCCGAGGGCCCGTTCAAGAAGTTCCGTGGGTCGCCTTCTTCCCGCGGTGGAAATTCAGATCTTTTGTCCAAGGCCATCGCGGTTGGTTTCGGGGAAGAATTCACTCGGGAGGTCCTGCATGATGCTGGTGTAGCCATTCTCTCTGCCCGTGCTGATGAAGAGGCGAAGCAGGCCATGAATGTGACACCCCAGAACTTCTCGAACCAAGTCATTCTAACGTCTTCTCGGCTGATGCTGCAGAGCGTACCGTGATGACGTTTCGTAACTACTTTTCCGATGGTTTCAATTTCCTGGCCTCGAAGGTCCCCAGTGTGCTCCGTTTGGAACTTCTCCGTGATGCTGAAGCGAATAAGCAGTTGACAGTTTAGGGCAAGGTCCGTGGTGAGTTCGAGGAAGTTGCGAAGTCGTCTCCCTCTCTGAAGGACTGGTCTATCTATCGATTCTTCGGTCAACAAGGGATCCATCTTCGCATCGAATGCAGTATCGGGGGATGCGGTGGAACTCTGCCATGTCTCCAAGCCTGCCTCCCCATCCGACTTGCCTCGTGTGGCCTCTTTCGCGTGCCACTTCGCCCGAGTCGGTCTCGGTGACGAGCGCCAGTCGGTTGTGGATAAGGTGATGGGCCAATTGAGCCTTGGGCGGTCCTGTGTCTCCAGGATTTGAGGGCGCCCCGCCGGGGGCTGGGTTGCTTGCGCTGGACGTCGTGTCGCCCCTGCGCGCGGGCCAACTGAGCGAGGCACATTTCGTTCTTGAGGAGATCGGGGCGGCGCAGCCCCCCCCCCCTCCTGGCCGAAGAAGCCTCTCGCAGTCCTCGCGTGGAACGTGAGGGGGTTGTTTGGAAGCGTGAAACGTGTGACGGAGCGGGCTTGCTCTCGTTGGCGCATATTTTCGCGGCTGCTTAAGAGGCGGCAGATTGTGCGTCCAAGAGCCTCATGGGCACTCTGGGGATGTGGTCGCTCACGAGAAGGAGTTCCATTCGCGCAAGTTTCCCCTGGGTGCTCACCTCGTTGCGCTCCTGGGCATGGGGTGATCGTATTTGTGCCGCGTTGGTGGGCATGTTTTCGTGCTTCAGTCTGAAGTCTCTGATTCCTGGTATGGCGTCGTATCTGCTGGGGTGGGGAGAGGCTGGTCTGTTGGGGGTTGTCTCTGTCCACGTGCCGGATGTCGGCGCAGGGTCTGGTAACTATCGTCATTGTCTCCTCTGTCGTGCGCTCTGCTCTACTTCCATCCGCTGCTGTTTCTCATTTCCTGCTTGGTGGCTTCAATTTTGTACTTCGTGATGAGGGCCGACTCGATCTGAGGGATGGGGGCTTCCAGTCGGCGGGGCTCTGCCTTCTCACGAGAACGGAACCAGTTTTCTGGAGGCTCGACTGAACTGCACCCGCCTCGGGATACGTGACGTGCTTGCTTTGGTCCGAAGATGGTCTGTACCGCTCGTCTAGACCATGTCTATGTTGATATCCTTTCTGCTGTTCTCATGGATATTGTGGTCGCTGGTTCGACGATCGGCGTGGCGACTAACTTGAAGAATCCCCCTGGCCACGTTTCTGTTGTGGTTGCCATCTCCGCGAAACCGCGGCTACTGAATGGCCCCCCATCGCATGCGTTCCGTCAACGTCTGAATCCCAGGGGATTCTGGATGATCGTCTGCAGGGGATTGAGCCGAGGCTCCCGATTCTGATTTGATTGTCTCGTACGAAAAGCGCCGCGCGCGAAGCGCGCGCCTCAACTCGGGAAGTTCAGCGAGGTCGGGGAGCCAAGCCTCTTCGTGTGTTTCTTCGCTGGTGTATCGCTGCTCTCCGTTCCTCTCGTGCTGGGGTGCAGTATTTTGTGGTGGGCGTCGTTCGTGCCTATCCCCATCTCTCTGACTTCTTTGACGTCGGTGCCGGCGCATTCTATAACCCCGTGGGGCTTTCTGCGCACATTGTCGCTCTGAACAACCAGCTCTTGGATGCCGAAGAGGAAGCTGCGCGGCGAGCGAGCGACCTTCCCGGGAGCGAAGCTGCGCGCAGACGTGCGCGTGTCATGCACAATCGCGAGCGTTGGCGGCCCCGCAATAAGTCTGAGCGTCTTGGGGATATTCTTCTCGAGGACTCTGTTGCGTGCTCGTCGGTCCAGCGTGCTGGCAACGAACTTGCTCGTTTCTGTGGCGGGGTGTTTGCTGCGCGTGAACCCGACCGCGCGCTTTGGATCGCGCGTCGCCAGTGCATTCAGCATGCTGATGTGTTTCTCCCCGACGCGGGGCGGGCTCTCTCTCGCGACGAGTTCGCGGAGCTTGTGGGGCGCATTGGGGGTCCAACGCGCAGCGTAGATGGTCAGCCGTGCTGTTGTTGGGGGCGTGCAGGTGCTCAGGAGGTGTTGTTTGCGTTCTACTGCCGCTGTATCTCTCATCCGGATGATTCCCTCCCATCCGACTTCCACGATATGCTCGTGGTTTTCCTGTCGAGGGGCGATCGTCCCTCTGATGCGTCTGCTGTTCCTGCTCGCCGGCCGCCCGCTACTCGTCCGCTTTCCACGGGGTCGACCGATTGCAAGGTGATCGCGGCTGCCGTCTCCTACCCTCTCACCAGAGTCAGTATGCAGTCAAGGCGTGAGCTGCAGTATGTGGGGGTTCCAGGGTGATCGGTTTTGACAATATCATCCGCTGCGAAGTCGGTGGGGCTGTGGCCCATCTGGAGGAAAAAGTGGACCAGATCCAGCTTTTAACCGACTTCAGAGCTGTGTTCCAACGTCTTTTCGTGGAATGGGCCTTGTATGTCCTCAGGGAGATGGGCACTCCTGCTTGGGCGGTGAAGTCCTTCGGAAACCTCAATGCAGACGCTGCGGCGAGGGTTAATTTCTGCGGCGTCTCCCTGGCGTCTGTCCGCGTGTGTCGTGGGGCCCGACAGGGGTGCCCTGCCTCCATGTTCCTGTTCGCCCTCGCCCTGGCCCTGTCTGCAGGTGGCTGCTCGAGACAGGTCCCCTTAGGCCTGTGTTCTCAGGCTATGCCGACGACCTAAGCTTCTGTTTTGAGAACAGGGCTACCGATTAGCCCCCCCACCAGTGATAAGATCTGCCTGCCCTCGACGGCGGCTGGTCTCGAGCTAGACTTAAGGAAATGTGTTGTTCTGGTGGGGGCTCTCGGAACCTGCGAAACTTTTCGAACTTTCTGGCGTCTGCGGGGCGGGGCTGTGAACGTCGCCAGTTTGTGCGGTGGTGCTGCTATCGTGGAATTTCCGTTGGTCCTGAGGCGCATCTCCACCGATTTCCATGCGATAAGCACTTCTTGCGTGCCTGTGAGATTCGTGGAGCGGCAGTGGCATTGGCAGAACCGATTGTTGCCTACAATGTGCGTGCTGTGACCGTCCTCAGCAATGTGCTACAGTTCCACCGTCCTACTCCTCGTCTTTTCCACCTAGAAGATCGAGCCCTGCAAACTATTCATTCGGTCCCGCGTTGCAGTTTCAGTGGCAAAATGGTGTACTTCCTGGACGACGCTGGTTGCAACGCGTCCTGTCATTCGGTTGCCTTCGTAGCCGAAGCTTCTGTGTTTCGAACGGCCATGGGTTCTAGTGCCCGGGGCGAATTCGTGGAAGCGTTGGCGGAGATTCGCGGCTCCTCGGGTGACTTGATCTCCGCCGCTGCCGCATGCTCTCCCTGGGGCTCTCGGTGCTGCCTCCCTCGCGGTGCTGCAGTTCGATGGAGTACATGCCGCCAGCCGCCCGCCCTGCTCTCTTCTTTGATACAGTCGGACCGTCAAATGGGTTTGAATTCCGCTTTGGGTCGCGTTGGAGCTCGGGCCCCACTGGCGACTTGGGGAAAGCGGTCCCGCGCCCTGTAGTGCAGCTCAGCTGATGCGACTAAGCTGGGTCGTCCCTTGTCGGCTCGTCGCTATCAGTGCTTCCTGCGGCCGTGTTCAAGGTCGGGGCAAGTTCGAGGCACCTCGCCCGCCCGCTGCCGCAGCTTGTCCTCACCAGCTGCATCGAGACTGCTCGGGTGACTTCCTCAGTTTCGAGATCTAGCCTTGATCGATCGATCGGTCCTCCCCTCCGTCTTCCCTCCCTGCTGCTGCTTGCCTGCTGTCTCCCTTGGCGTCCGCCCTATGCGGTGATTCGGCTTCCATGGCTCCAGAAGCCTTGAACTGGTTTTGCATCTGCTTGAATTTAACGTTTGCCCGATTGCGCTCTCTGGCTGACATCGGAGTTGCGTGGGTTATTCGAATTGGTTGTCACCAATCATTGCCATTGTTTCGTTAAGGAACATATTATTAACTTTGCCATTGCCGCCGTTCTCATTATCATCAGCATCGTCCGTGTAATTACCGTTAACATGATCAATATCAGTATCGCAATCATTATCATTGTCATTGCCATTTTCGTTATCAATTATCATTAGTGTTGTGGTGGCCTCCGGCCAGTTTCGCCGATCCGGGGTGCTACCGGTTCAGCTTGCAATGGGTCATTTGTTATGCTTAAAAGTTGAGCACTCGCTCGAGACATCTTCATGATATAGAGATGTTGAACTCGCTTGGGCAAATGTCGGATATTCGAAAGTGACGATCTCGCGTGAAAAATTAAACTCGTGGGATGTCGTCTCCCACCTTCCGGGCCTGGATGGCGTCACTCATGGCGTCAGCCCCCGCCCCCCCCCGACTCCCCCATCCTGGGCGTGAATGGCGTCAGCCATGGCGTCGGCCCTCCTCCCTTCCTTTCCTCCCCCGAGCTTGAATGGCATCAGCCATCCCGGGCGTGAATGGCATCAGCCCCCCCTCCTCCCCCGACAGAGCGAAGCCCCCCCCCCCCCCCCGAATGGCGTCCTGATGGCGTCAGGCCTTTCCCCCCTCCCCCCCCCTGGGTCTGAATGGCGTCAGTTCCCCCCCACCCCGACAGAGCGAAACTTGAATGAGCTCAAGCCCACCCATTTCGTCCCCCCATGGCGTTCCCCTCCCCCCTTTCCCCCCCGGCCTGAATGGCGTCAGCCCCCCCCCTTCTCCTCCCTCCCGGGCCTGAATGGCGTCAGCCCCCCCCACCCCCTCCCGACAGAGCGAAGCCCCCCCCCCCCCCTCTTCCCTTCGGCTTGACTGCGTCAGTTACCCCCCCCCCTCCTCCCCTCAGGCCTGAATGGCGTCAGCCCTCCCCCCCTCCTCCCTCCCGGGCCTGTATGGCGTCAGGCCTTTCCCCCCTGGCAGCCTGGCACGCAGCCGTCACGCGGTATTGCGATGCCCTCTGAGGCTGTTTTTCGTGCTCATGTGCGTTTTTGCATTCAGCTTCTCTCTCCCCCCCTCCCGGGCCTGAATGGCGTCAGCCCCACCTCCCCCCCGACAGAACGAGGCTTGAGCGAGCTCAAGCCCACGCTCTCAGAAGCTCACGCGCTGCTGCTTGCTGCTCTTGTAGGGGGGGGCTGTCGGAGAAAGGGGGGGTCGTTGGAGAGAAGGGAGGGGTTTGTCGGAGAAGGAAATCTCTGTCGGAGAGGGGGGGGAGGATTTGTTAAAAGGGTCTGTCGGAGAGGGGTGGAGTCTGTCCTGGAAGGGGGGGGGGTCTTTTTTTGGGGGGGGGCTGTCGGAGAGGGGGGGGGTCAGAGAAGAATATTCCTCTCGGAGAGAGGGAAGTGGGTGTGTGTGGGAGGCGGGGGGGGCTTGTGCGTTCAGTGAAGTCCGTTGGAATTCGCCCCCCCCCTGTCCAGAGCGAAGCTTGAGCGAGCTCAAGCCCACGTTCTCACAAACTCGCACGCCGGAATCTCTATCGGAGAGGGGGGGAGGGTCTTTTCGGAGAGGGGGGAAGGGGGTCTGTCGAAGAGGGGTGGGGTCTGTCCTGGAAGGTTTTTTTTTTGGGGGGGGGGCTGTCGGAGAGGTGGGGGATTCAGAGAAGAAGATTCCTCTCGGAGAGAGGGAAATGTGTGTGTGTGTGTGTGTGTGTGTGTGTGTGTGTGTGTGTGTGTGTGTGTGTGTGTGGGAGGCGGGGGGGCTTGTGCGTTCAGTGAAGTCCGTTGGAATTCGTCCCCCCCCTGTCCAGAGCGAAGCTTGAGCGAGCTCAAGCCCACGTTCTCACAAACTCACACGCCGGATTGGCAGATTATCAATATCATTATCAGTGCCATCACCATCACCATCGCCGCTATCATCGCATGCGTCATCATCATCAGCGTCACCGCGCCATCATCGCCATCGCTATCGTCGCGGTCGTCGTGGCCGTCGTCGTCATCATCATCGTCGCCGTCATCGCACTCATCAGCACCATCATCAAGACTCAAATTGTTTTGCTCACTCCCACCCGCCCTCTTACCGCACGCGTTGTGCCCGAGTCTCCGCATGTTCAGCGGTCGTCTTGGATGGGACGCTATTGTGAACCAGTGCGGGCCCGAGGTGCGCCACGCGTGCTAGGCGTGCGACGCGCGCCAGGCGCCCTGTGACCTCAGCGTGTCAGGCGCGCCTGGTGCGTCAGATGCACCACGTGCTCCACGTGCGCCAAGCGTGTCGCATCCTCCAGCCGCGCCAGGTGCGCCACTCGCGGGGCACGCGCAGAGTGTACCAGGTGCGCCCGCGCACGCCGGGAAAAATGTCGGCCCCCACCATCCTTGCCGAAACCCCAAGCGTAATCGCGGCGGAGTGGCGATTATGATGTTTGGTGGCCCTGCGCGCAGCAGGCCATATGCGGGTAACCCCCGCCGTCCCTGTCAACAAACCATACAAAGTGCTCGTGGGCCCCCGAACATGACCCAATATTTTGCTGCAGGGTGCACTTTGTGCATGATTTCTTGACAGGGATTGCAGGGGGGGCGCGTTGTCCTGGGTTAATCGCTGGTCGCGTGAGTGGCAAACCCCTTCCCGAGGGGGAACAAACAGGATGGCAAGAGGAAACTTCCTAAACCGCTCACGCCCAGGCTAGTTGGATTGGCCGCTCCTGCTCTTCCAAGAGCGAATCGGTCCAGGGTTGTGTGTTTGGTCTTCCGAGAGGGTTCTCTCCTGGTGAGGAGGCGTGTGGAGTCATGATTTTGAACTTGACGCCCCCCTCTAACATGCTTCCTGTCTTTCTGCAGACTGGCTCCCTGCGTCAACCTGGTCCTGGTCGCTTGCCGCCAATCTCTTCTGTGCGCACTCAGGACGGGGACGTGGCGACCTTCAAGGACATGCCTTCGTTTCGCGCTCGCACGCGGCATGCAGCGACCTCCCACCGCAGATACGTTTTCTTGCGTGAACGTTTGCTATCATCTGTGATCGGGCCTGGGCTGCTTCAAGATGTCGACCACAAACGTCTCAGCCCTGTTTGGTTGCGCTTGTCGCAGGGTGGAGTAAGCCAGGGTTAGATCTAAACGGTGGTTTCGCGATTTCGCGGGCCGTTTTCGTTTCGATTTCGTATTGCTGTAAAGGCGGATTGAAGACAAAACGAGGGAAAACGAAAACAAAACGAAAACAAAAAACACCGTTTAGGTTCAGCACTGGAGTAAATCTTCTTTTCCAGATCTCCGATGGCTCGTTTCTTTTTTATGGTCAAGTCGGCGGCTCTCAGGGCTCTCGACCCATCCCTCCAGTTTTTTGTTTTGTTTGTTTGTTGTTCGGACTGTTTTTTGCCCTGAAATTGGACGGCGGACGCCGAAGGTGCCGAACATCCGCCGGCCCGAGTTTTTCTCTCGAGCTGTCAGAGGTCTGTAGTCGAACGCACCTTTTGCGCTGATCGGCCAGCTCGCTCCCGGCTTCCCCCGGGAGCAGCCTCCAAACAAGCGGCACCCAGCGCCGCCGGGAGACCGAGCTGAAGCACGGCCGCGTGGCCGCCCCGGCCGGCCGTGCCCGCACTGCCGCCGCTCCGCCCTCCCCTCTCTCTCCCTCCACATTCCCCTCCTCTCTCCCTCTCGCCTCCACCTTCTGTGCTCCCCCCCCTTCCTGGAGGTGGGCGCAGGCGTACGGCTCTGGCTTTACACGACAGGCCACAAGCCTTCTTCTTCTTCTTCCTCCTCCTCCTCCTCCTCCTCCTCCTCCTCCTCCTCCAGGGGTGACGGAAGGGGCTATGGCATGGGTGCGTGTTGTCGGATGGGGGTGCCCATTCGACTGGGGGCCTCCCCCGCAGTCTGGCAACCCGCACCTATGTCCATAGCCAGTTCTCCTTCCTCCTTCCAGGACAAGCCCTCCCTCCTCCTCGTCCTCCTCCTCCTCCTTAACCTAACCTGAGATGCCCTCTCCTACCTAATCTATACCCCTCTCCTCTTACGTCTATGCATCTCTGACCCACTGCTGCCTCTTTCTGCCCGGCTGCCTCGGCCTTGACCCACGCCCGGTCTCCCCCCTTCCCCCCCGGTCGCCGCCCACCACTCCAAGCCCTGCCACGCTGGATTGCCACCTCATCTTGCAATTCACCGGAAGCGCCACCATTGCTTCGGTCCCTCGGCGGGCCTTCTATTCGACTCGAGGGCGTGGCGCTCGATTGTGCACCTCGCCTTCTGTGCCCAGCCCTGCCTGCTTGCCCTGCACGGCCCGTGGCTTCGGGTGCGTCCTCGAAATGCTAAGGCCACCTGGAGCTTGGACGCAGCAGAAAGGAGGAGGATGAGGAGGAGGAGGAGGATGAGGAGGCCCAGTACAAGGAAGGCATGGCTCGCACCTACTGTCGGGTCTGTTTCCAATCCGCTGCGTGTCCCATACGAGGGCAGACAGTCGGTCCCTCTGGCCAGCAGGAGACGGTGGACGGGCGATGAGTGGGGAGGGGGGAGGAGAGGGATGAGAGAGGTGAAGGGGCAAGGGGGTGGGTGAGGAGGGGGAGGAGGGTGAGGGTGAGGGGGGGGGAACGGTCGGGAAGAAGGCGAGGAGGGAGCGGGATAGGGAGGGGAGAGGCAGAGGGAGGGAGGGAGGAAGCAAGATAGGTGGAGCGTGAGGTTTCAGCGTACGCTACGGAGAGCTGCATGGAGCTGCTATTCTAGGAGGGGAAAGTAGGGTGAGGTTGGGCGATGAGGAGTGGGGATGACAGATGAGAAGGAATATGATGAGGAGGAGGAGGAGGAGGAGGGAGGAGGAGGAGGGGGAGATGGAGGAGGAGGAGGGGGAGGAGAGGAGATGAGAGGAGGAGGAGGAGGAGGAGGGGGAGATGGAGGAGGAGGGGGAGGAGGAGGAGGAGGAGGAGGAGGAGAGGAGGAGGAGGGAGGAGGACGAGAGTATGGGAGGAAATGGGAGGGGAGGAGAGTGAAGGAGGGGGCAGGGGGAGTGGGTAAGATGGGGAGGAGGAGGGATGGGGATGGGATGGGAGGGGAGGAGATAGAGAACGAGAGGAGAAACGTGGAGTAGGATCGAGGAGGACGGAGGAGGATACATGACGGAGGAGGCGGAGGAGGAGGATAAGGAGGAGGAGGAGAAGGACGGATGAGGATGAGGATGAAGATGAGGATGATGATGAGGAGGAGGAGGCGGGGATGAAGGGAAATGGGGAAGGCTAAGGAGGAGGTGATTTGTGCCGACGACGACGGCGGTGGTGGTGGTGATGATGATGATGATGAGGATGCTGCTGCTGCTGCTGCGGATGATGACGATGATGATGATGATGATGATGATGATGATGATGATGATGGTGATGATGATGATGATGGTGATATGATGATGATGATGATGATGATGATGATGATGATGATGATGATGTTGTTGTTGATTATGATGATAATAATGATGATCAGGATGATGATGCTGTTGATGATGCTTATGATCAGGATGATGCTGCTGATGAGGATACTGATGATGAGGATGAGAACGAGGATGATGATGATGCTGATGATGCTGATGATGGTGATGATGCTGATGCTGCGGCTGCTGAGGATGATGTTGATGATGCTTAGTATGCTGCCGATGATGAGGATGCTGACGGTGATGACGATTAGGATGTGGATGGGGATGATAATGATGCTGATGATACTGATGATGATTATGATGATGATGCTAATGATTATGATGATGCTGCTGCTGATTTTATGGTTGTTGTTGTTGTTGCTGTTGCTGTTTTCGATGATGATGCTGATGCTGCTGATGATGGTGATGACGCTGCTGCTAATGACCAGTATGGTGATGCTGTTGATGGTTCGCTGATGATGATGATGGCGATGCTGATGATACTGATGCTGATGATGATAATTATGCTGCTGATGATGATGCTGCTGACGATGATGATGATGATGATGATGATGATGATGATGATGATGATGATGATGATGATGATGATGATGATAATGATGATGACGATGATGATGTGATGATGATGATGCTGATGATGACGATGATGATGACGCTGATGATGACGATGATGATTATGATCATGATCATGATGATGATGATGATGATGATGATGATGATGATGATGATGATGATGATGATGATGATGATGATGGTAGTGGTGGTGATGATGATGATGATGATGATGATGATGCTGGTGCTGATGATGATGGTGAGGATGATGCTGGTGATGATTGTGGTGGTGATGCTGATGATGATGGTGGTGATGCGGGTGATTATGAGATTGATGACGAGGATGATGACGAATGGTATTCATATTTGTCCTCTACGAGTCGCAAGAAACAGTGAACAGGCGCGGGTGGCTCTCAATCCCCTTTTCTCTTCCTTGAAGGCAGTGGCCGTGCCCCTGTATGCATGCTGAAGTCCCCAAGGCCGTGACAAACCCGAGGGTGGCACGGTACAACACAGGTGATTATTCTCTGAGCTTGAGGCCGCGAGTCAGTGTGCCACATTGTGCACCGGTGGTGGAGAAAGCGCCGACTGTCTGGAGAAGGGTTTTTCAAACACCACCGCCAGCTGACTTGCCAGCGAGGGTTTTCCTCGGAGGCGGTCGACGGTCTCCACGCTACCATACACGCGCAAACGTGCCAGCGGATGTCCGAAAGGAGTGTGGAGGAGGCGGAGGTTTTCTGGCACCGCAGAGCTGCGGCCCATTGGTGAGGTGGCAATGTACGCTACGATGGGCTACATCACGCCGGAGTTCTATAAGTGGCCGGGCTACCTGAGCCCTTCTGCTGGACGCCACCTTTCTTAGAGTTTCTTTCGGTCAGTGCGTGCGTCAAGGAAGAGGGGGGGCGGGGTGTACCGCGAGGAGGAACAGGAGGAGGAGGAGGAGGAGGAGGAGGAGGAGGAGGAGGAGCAGAAGGAGGAGGAGTAGGTGGAGGAGGAGGAGGAGGAGTGGATGGGGAGGAGGATTACGAGAAGCAGCAGCAGCAACAGCAGCAGCAGCATCATCAGGTATGCGAGTATTGCCCTTGTGCGCACTTAACCAGCCTCTGCGCCACACCCGGCCGGGTGGATCAACGCTCGTGGTGTATGCTGGAGGGATCCCGGCCTCATGAGGACAGTGCATCATTTCGTTTTCGACCAAGCAGCTCTCGTGCAGTACCATCTTCGTGGCGCGCGAGTATAATCCAATTATCAAAGAAATGCCTCCCGCGGCAAAGTTGTTTTCTTAAATTTGGCTTTGGTGTCGCCACGGTCGCCTATCTGTACTCCCGTCCGTGCTCGGGTCACGGGGCAGGTGTCGTGCTTCACCCTCCATTTGGGCATGCTGCGTTTTGTCGTGTCCAATGGGGCGCAGCAACAGCATCACCAAGTATGCGAGTGTTGCCCTCGTGCGCACTTAACCAGCCTCTGCGCCACACCCGGCCGGGTGGAGCAACGCTCGTGGTGTATGCTGGAGTGATCCCGGCCTCGCCAGGACAGTGCATCATTTCGTTGTTGACCAAACAGCAGCAACAGCAGCAGCGGCAGCATAATGCATTTCTTCCTCCCCTCACCTGCACTTGCCCTCTGCACATGTTGTTTCAGTTTCGCTAAGCATCGAGTTTCGCTTGAGCTTGCTCGCGAGAGCCCTTGTGTGCGGTGCTGGAGTGTTCCTGCTAAGTGCAGTGCTCGTGATATGTCGTGCTGCGCATGTAGTTGGAGCTGTGACGATATGGTTCCCGATTCCCGTTCTTGTGTGTCTCCTCCTCTTCCCCCTTGACCTGCTGTGACGGCCCACAGAGATGCAGGCCCAAGAGGAACCGTGGCGAGGACGTGAGCCAGCAGCTGGATTCCAAGCTCCAGCAGTTCCATGCTTATGAAAAAAAGGGGGGTGGGAGAGAGAGAGAGAGAGAGAGAGAGAGAGAGAGGGAGAGAGAAAGAGAGAGAGAATAACAAAGAGGCGTGGGACAAGGTGTGCAGGGCATGTGCGTTCCTTTATCCCCCTTCTACCTCGTCCTTCATCCGAGAAGTAAGAAGCTATATGACCAGCGGTGCACCCCCAGAACATTCTGCCAGGCGAGGGTGGCTAGCTCCATGCGTCAATGTAGTCAGCATACTACAGCATAACGTGCAGAGCCAATGGAGCTTGATCCTGCAAGGAGACACGCGCTTCTCATATTCCCCCTCCGCTCTATGCATTTGTTGAAATAGTATATGCGAGGAAGAACCACATGAGCTCACAGCAGCTTTGGCCAGATTTCTGAAGGTTCCACTGGGGGCGAATCTTGACAGACGATGCCAGGCGATTGCTGCGAGAGTGTGCAAACAGGCTGTGGACGGCTTCCGTGAACCATCGCTCCAGCCAGAGATGCGCAGCGTGCGATGCGCCCTGGCAATCTGGCTGGATGCAGGGCGTGCGCACACATTGTTGTGGCATCAGTTTTTTGGTCTCGGGACCATCCAAGTTTTGCACCGCGTGCCAGTAAGTAAGCACACAACAGCACACATCCCTATCACGTTGCGTGCGTGCAAACCAGTTTTGCCAACGACGATTCTCACAGGATATTGCACATGTGAATTTTGGTAGGGTTTCAAGAGGCATACTGTCGGAATGTTGTGGAGCCCTGAAGGTGAACGCAATCCCGCATCCCCGCTATATACAGTATTTTTCACTCGAAACTGGATGTTGTTATAGTGGTAAAGCAAAAGTCACCCGCGCATGTAATGAAACACCCTGGCTCGATCGGGTGGCGAGAATGCTAAGGACTGGAGGCTAAGGAGGTGTTGGTGGAGTATCGTCCGTTTTGGGGCTGATGGTGGTTTCGACCCCCTCGCTTTCGGCACCCTCCCGGCCCTGAAGCAGAGCTCCCCCCGAGCCGAGTTGTGCGCCCTCCAGCAATGATTGATATGTCGCTATGGAGGTATCATTGCTTATTCGGCTGTATGATTGTTACTGAAGGTTCCGTAACCCCCTGAGTTCGCACGGGCTCGTGTGTCTGAAGCGTCTGCCCAGTGGCCTGGCTCAGCCAACATCCTCTGGACCTAGGCCCACCCCACCCATAGTCAGGCAGAGAACTTCGGATTGCGCCCCGGTGAATAGTATTTGAAGCAGTTTGCAGATTTCTTTGCAGGCAAAAATACAGTGGCTTGTGCTGTGCCGCCTGACCTTGTCCACAGGACGGTGGCTGCAGATGACCTGTGTGCGCAGATCATCGGTCAGCAACATGCTATCCAGCGTGAAGTCCTCTTGTATTCTGAACGGTCCAGGCCTGCTCGCGTGGGCCTTTCTGTGGGGCGGAAGACAGGCGCGGACCTCTCTTTGAATGTTCGGTCTTCGAGGCTCCGTGCTGCAGGACGCGACCCTGTGGCTAAGCAGAGCGTGTTGTGGTTTCTGCAGATGCGCCCGCTTTTTCTCTCGGAAAGGCCCTCTGTCTGGTTTCTGGCCCTGTTTGTGCAAGCCTCGATGAGATTCAGAACTTTTTGCAAAGCTCCTGGCCGATGAGTACCATCCTGACCGTGTTGACCCCCCCCCTGCGTTTGGGGGCGTTTGGGGGCATCCTTGGCCTGCTGACTGCCATCCGTCCCACGCTTTGGAGGTGCTCAGAGGAGTTTTATTATGTTAGTTACGGGTCTTTTTGTGTACACCATCCCCGCAACTTGAAGAAGCTTTGTTTGCCCCCTACCGCTGCAGGTCGTGTGACTCTGTCCAGTTTCAGCCGTGGCCTCGCCCCTAATCTGGGATGTCTTGGCCTGAGCTTTGATGGCGGTGAATGATCTGCGGCCGTGCTAGCACTTGGGGCCCGCTCCTGGCATAAGAATAGTAATGATAATAGCCTGGTGCGGCGACAAACAACAAGACATGGTGTGGTCTCACTCAACAGCACGGAGGGTCCTAGCCAACATATGGGTCTGCTTGTTCGCCAGAATGGGGGGTCTCAGCACGCGCTGTTTCAACTGTCGCAATATATGTATGCATGTATGTCTGTATGTATGTATGTATGTATGCATGCATGCATGCATGCATGCATGTATGTGTGTATGTATGTCATGTATATATATACACATATATATGTATGTATGTATGTATGTATGTATATATACATATATATATATATGTGTATATATGTATAAAGATGTATGTGTGTGTCTATCGGAATAGGCCGGGGGAGGGCCCAGATTTGCGACCTCTGGTTCGCATGGGGGGCTGGGGGGCCTTGAGGGTTCCAATAGGGTTCAGAAGGGGCCCCGGACCCCCCCAGAGGCTGGCCCAAGAGGCGCCCAAAGCGCCCCAGGCTGTCTGGAAAGTGGCTGAAGAGCGCACTGAGATGGCTTCCGGACGGGCCACGAGCGCTCGAAGACAGCCCAAGACTGCTCCTAGACGGCCACAAAGGCATTCAAGACGGTCCAAAAGGCCGCCGAGAAGGCCCTCCAAGGGCAAAATCAATTATTTCCAATGGAAAAAGCGTATATTTCCTGGATATTTGCTTCTCAGTCCTACCAGCGGCCGCGACGACCCCAGAGACTCTCAAAATGGGCAGTCGTCCGGGATTGCTTCCCCTTATTTTCTAATTATGGGAAGTGAAATCCCAGACGACTGCCCCAAGCACACATTGCACGGGAAATGCGATTTTCTCGTAATTCGACTTCCGAATTATGGGAGACGCAATTTCCTTTTTGAAGAACCGCACCCAATGGGCCAGGATTGCGTTTCCCATAATTCGGAATTATGGGAAACGCAATTCTGGCCCATTGTGTGCGATTTTGCCCGGGAAATTGCGTTTCCCACAGTTTGAATTCCGAATTTCGGGAAACGCGGCTTCCCAGAATTCGAATTCCGAATTATGCGAAACGCAGCTTCCCTTGAAAAACCGCACTCGATGGGCCAGAATTGCGTTTCCCATAAATCGGAATTATGGGAAACGCAACTCTGGCCGATTGAATGAGTTTTTTCCAGTGAAATTGCGTGTCCCATATTTCGAATTTCGAATTTCGGGAAACGCGGTTTCCCAGAATTCGATTTCCGAATTGTGGGACACGTCATTTCTGTTGAAAATTTGCAGTCGATGGGCCAGACTTGCGTTTCCCATAATTCGGAATTATGGGAAACGCAACTCTGGCCCATTGAGTGTGGTTTTTCCTCGGAAATTGCGTGTACCATAATTCGAACTCAGAAATTCGGGAAACGCGGTTTTCCAGAATTTGAATTGCGAATTATGGGAAACGCAACTTCTTTTTTTGAAAAACCGCACCCACTGGACCAGAATTGCGTTTCCAATAATTCGGAATTATGGGAAACGCAATTTTGGTCCATTGAGTGCGGTTTTTCCTGGGAAATTGCGTTTCCTATAATTCGAATTCCGAATTCTGGGAATCCGCGTTTCCCATAATTCAGAATTCCGAATTATGAGAAACGCAATTTCTTTAGAAACAACCGCTCAATGGGCTAGAATTGCGTGTCCCATAGACGCAATTTTGCCCCATTGCGTGCGTCTTTTTATAGGGAAGCTGCGTTTCCTATTATTCGAATTCAGAGCCGATTCCAGCTTCGCGCGGTCCCATGGCTGATGTGGTGGCCCTCCACCCGCAAGCCAGACGCATCAGAGCTTTCTATAGTCCTGGAAAGCCCACGTCGCTCGGATTTGCTGCGCCGGCATCGAGGCAACGGGGCATTCAGCGAAAGGCTGAGCGGGTGAAGGACCTGGCGACGACAAACCGCCGCCTGAACGTGTCACGCTGACATCCAGGTCGCCCAGTCACCCGCCACCAGGCATGGTGGGCGCAGCCATGCCAGTGCTGACTCGCCACCAGGTCACGTTGCTCCCCGCGTCCCCGTATTCCTCCCGACCCGCGAGGATGTGGAAGCTCGGGGCCAGGCGGGCCGCGCGCCGACGCAACAGGAAGCGCCCGCCCATGCTCGCGCCCGCTCGGCCAGGCCTCTCGTTGCTAGCGCGTGCACCACTGGCGACGGGATCGAAGCCCCGGGGCGAGGGCGCGTAACCTCGACGAGAGCTCGACGTTTGCCGCCATTTGCCCGAAGAGGCGACCCTGGATCTCACGGCGGGCCCTCTACGCTCTCGTTGTCCACAGGCATGCCCTTGAGCTGGGCGCCACCGCGCGCGGAGGGGCCTTTCTCGGACAGCCTCGGACTGCGCAGGCAGGCGCGGAGACACCAGTCTCAACGCTAAAGCCGACGATCTGCGCGACCACGCGCAGACCTTCAAGGATGTGGCCCTGTTGGCGGAGTCTGGCGAAACGTCGCCCGACTCGAGTGTGGCTGGCCATTCTCTTGCATGGTGCATGACGACTGGGGTTGGGACCTTTCAGGGTCGCGCCTTCCGGTCGGCTTGCTCACTCGCGTGCTCCGAGCGTCGCGAAGAAGAACCTTTCTCCGACGCGTCCATGCGGCCGGGCACGACCTGGGCGCGGTCGCCCTCGTCGAGCAAGGCCTTGACTACTTTGCCAGCGCCTGGTAGCGAAGAATCAAGGGCATAGCTAAGTTCACGCTGCCGCTGCCTTTGCGGCGTTGATCGCGCCGGGCAGGGGGGGCCCGCGTGGGCATCTCGGCCGACCCGTCGCCGCTGTGCGGGTGGTGAAACCTAGGACACATGGTCTGGAAATGCCCATAAGGACCACTTGGGAAACTATGGTCACTGGTGAACAATGGAGATCACCCCCTGCATGAAGAAGACCCGCAGCTGCTGGACCTTCGGGCCACCATGGCGCAGGACGAGCACCCGCGACCCATTCCGGCCCATCTTCCCGAGGGCTCCGAAAGGGATCTATTCGAGGAACACGCTGACGGCAGCGCGGGGGCCATGTAGCGGCCACTGACAGGGCCTGCGCGGACCAGGCTGACCCGCTCCCTGTCAGTGCTGGCTTAGCTGGTGTCTCCTATGGGCCGGACCGCGGGCTACGCCGTTCGTCTCGTGTGCGCGGCCTGGCCCAGTCCGCGGAACGCGCTGGGGCTTTCGCCCTGCTTCACCTGGTGGCTACTGCATAGCGGCCTTTCCGCGTCTTCGTGCCGTCGTCGACGTATTTGGGACTTCAACGCAGGAAAGCCACCGCAAGTCACGGGGGCTCAGGCCGATCTCTGGCGTGATAACCATCGTGCGTTGCAAGCCAAGTCCTAAGAGTTCAAGGCCCAGTAAGCTGAAAGACATCTCGGCGAGCAAGGCATGAGTGAACGCCGAATCGCGCTGATTTCAGAGGCTTTTCACCGCCGCGCCGATGAGCTCGCCGCTGCAGGAGCGCGCCTGCGCGCCCTGCGCAATGTGACATTGACGGAAACAAGTGGCGGCAGAATTTCGCAGCGGTTCTCCGCGGCGCCGCTGTCGCGATATATGGCCGCCGACCCGCGCGTTGCCCTTTGCAGACGGACGCGCGGGTTACTCTAGGGCTGCATTCAGCGTGATGGAGCGCGACCCGCTCACCGCGTGGCAGTGCAGTGACGAGCCGCCAGAGTCGCCCGGCGACCCCGCGGACTTTTTCGATGATTTCGACGACCCGTGGGGGGCTTCATCCGACGACTTGGAAGAAGGCGAG